TGTTGTTGTTTTTTTTTAATAGATTAAAAATGATGCTGCGATGCAGGAGACCCGGGTTCAATTCCTGGGTCGGGAAGATCTCCTAGAGAAGGAAATGGCAACCCACTCCAGAATTCTTGCCTGGAGAATCCCATGGACAGAGAAGCCTGGCAGGCTACAGTCCACGGGATCGCAAGAGTTGACACGACTCAGCAACTAAAACAGCACAAAAATGATCAAACTAGTTAAAGAGGCTTTGTTCAACATGGTAGCCACTAGGCACAGGTGTGACCATTTAAATTAACTGAAATTAAATAAAGTTTAAAATCCAGATCATCCATCATTCTAGCCATATGTCAAGGGCTCAAAGGTCACATGTGCCCAATGGCTATCATACTGGACAGTACAGAGAACATGTCCATTATCACAGAGAGTTCAGTGCACAGCTCTGGACTGAAGGATATAAAGAAAGTGTCTCCCCTCTTTTTCTATCCCCAGTTCTGCGACCCTGCTGCCAGTCTCCTTTGCGAGCTCACAGAGGTATTTTTCATATGTCCAAACAGTCTGTGTGGATGCAAACCTCATTTATTAAAACCAAAGAGAAAAGACTTTAAACACAATTTGGCTCCAGGCTTTCCTCACTTAGTGAACCTCAGAGATGACACTCTAAGTGTACTTCACTCTCTGGTGTGGCCTCACAGCAGCCCACAATCACCAGGGCAACTGTCACCACCCCGCCCTAAACCCCACTCCTGGGCGCTCTCCTGGGTGGCCCTGCTCTTTTCCCCGCTAACACTTTCATCCTACTCCCCGTTTCCACCTGCCCAGACTTCTCTGCCTCTTTCCCTCACCCCTTGCCCTAATGAAACCTGGTTGAGACAAAGAAAGATAAATATGTAAATATGGTATCATTTATATGTGGAATCTATTTTTTTTTTAATGACACAAATGAACCTATTTACAAAATAGACACACAGATTTCAAAAATAAACGTATGGTTACCAAAGGGGAAATGTGGTGGGTGGGGGGAGAGTTAAGTAGGTTATCAGCCACCTACCTCAGCCACCCACTCCCACCCTAAATCCACACCCATAAATGAACCTCCTGTGAAATCCTGGTTCTTAGCATCCCATTGTCAAGACAGCGCCCCACACCAACAACCACCAAGAGAAGTGGGATTCTCACTCCCCTTGTCTGGTCCTCCCTCCCAGCCCTCAGCCAGCTGGATGTCCTGTTATGTTCTCAGAAGCCCTCCCTGGCCCCACTGTATGATTTCATTTATATGAGGGACCTACCTAGAGTCGTCAAATTTATAGAGAGAGAAAGTAGAATGGTGGTTACCAAGCTCTGGGGGAGGGATAATAGGAAGCTGAGAAATGAGTATGGAGTTTCAATTTGCGAGATCCGCTCACAACACTGTGAATACACCTAACACTACTGAATTGTAAACTTAAAATATTTCAGATGGTAAATATGATGTGTTTTTCCCCACAATAAAAAAGTGTGACACAAGCAAAGCGTATTGGCACTCTGTGGCAGTGCTGAAGGCACACTCCCCCACTCTGAGTATCGCACACCCACCACACCCACAGTCAGCGCACACAGTCATCAGGCAGAAGGCTGAGCAGGGTTTCTATCACCTAGCATTGGCAATTCCAAGGTCGAGATTCACTCTGAAGCTTAGAAAAAAAAGAGGGAAAATTAGAAGAGGTAACTAAGGACTGCTTGGATATGTTCTCGTTTTCGCAAATCTTATTCTCCAGCAACTAACTGAAAACCAGTAGTTTTTCTGGCTATGCCCCTTATAATTCATTCATGCTCATTAATATGCAAACACCCGTTTCTCAGCTGGCAGTGATTTCATGAATTTTTAATTTACATGGGATGAGCCAGAGATTAAAATTCTAAACTAAACCAGCAATACAGAGGATTCTGAGTGTTGTTTTAATCCCTAGATTAAGAATCTCCAAATGAATCCATGGGCATCATCACATGGAACAATCATCTGGGAATTATCAAAGCAAATTGGTGAGTTTCTGCCTTATGGGTATTATTAAAGATACACTTTTAAGGGTATATATTTGGGGACCATTAAAAACAGTGAAACCAATGAAATTTCTTATCAATCAATCAGTGTTAGATAACATGCTGGCCACCTGGTAAATGATCATAGAGATCCCAACACCATAGAAAAGCCACAATAATTTGTGGCTTTGTGACTAATATGTAAGAGACTCACTTTAGCATAAAGGGAATCAGATTTAAAAAGCAAATTAGAAAAGAGAAATTGAGAAACAGTGAACACAATTCCTTCTAGAATTGCAAATCAAATTCTGGATTATTAATTCTAAAATAAGCAAGGCAGAGGGAAGAGCTTTCTTTTCAGAGGGCAAGGCCCAACAGAAATTTAATACATGTCCCATATGTCATTTTAAATTTCTAAAAGCCACATTAAGAATATAAACAGAAGTAAAGTTGTAATAGTTTATTTAACCCAATATATCCCAAACATTCTTATATCAACATGTAATCCATATTGTTTTCTAAAATTAATAAAATGTTTGTATTCTTTTTTTCTTACATTTTTGGGATTTGGTGTGTATTTTATAATTACAACACCTTAGGAGCTGCCACACATAAATGCTAAAAGAGCCTCTAGTGGCTGCCATATTGGTAACAGAACTATGGATCCAAAGAATGTGTTCATCTGACAGGATAGGGACTAGCTCTTGAAAGTCAAGCATATCTCTATACTGCACTCTCTAGACTGTTCTTACTGTATTCCTCAAAGATCAATCAGCAACAGCCTGGGTAGATGCATTCACTGTTCCTTTGGCTAGACAGGTGGTAATTCAACTTTGATCTTTTGCAAATCAGCTTACTACTATTGCTTCTTGATTTTTCCAATCAGTGAACTGACTCACTTTTTCAAAAATTAACTTTATCCTAAATAACATCATCTATGATGTCACAGATTTTATATTTTAATTATATTTCTTAAAAGGGCTAATGCCCTTAAAAGGGCTAATTTAACACTTAAAACAGAGCTCTAGTGCTCTGTCTCAAGCCAACAACTAAACTAAAATTGGCTCTCATTTGCGAATCAGTTGTGGTATCATCTTTCAAAAACTTTCCATTTGGCACAAGCAACCTCAGATATATTACTATTTCCTGAGTCCCCTGACACTCAACATTTATATGGCTGAGTGTGACACAGCATCTCCACCAAAAGTACCTCTTGTCTGGGCACCACCACAAACGGCAGGGCATTTCCTCACTTCTATTCAGCTGTCCAAAAGCTATGGAAGTGGGGTAAAGCTCTTGCTCTAATGAGAAGCCACAGTGACTCAGTCTCAGGGGAACTCCCTTAAATAATTAATAATGATGGCAGCTAAAGTTTACTGAACTACATGCCAGACACTGTCATAAGTTTATATATATGATATGATATTATGTCGTATATCATGACAATTAGTGTCTCACTCCCATAATTGTCAAATACTCCCTTTTTGCCAGATAAGGAAACAAAGCATAGTGCAGTTAGGATAGCTTCCCACGGTCACAAAGCTGACAAGTTGTGGAGCTGAGATTCAAAGTCAGCAAGTCTGACTTTGGAACCTGGGGATTACCACGAATATAAAAAATGGAAATTGAAAAAGACACATGCTTTATGGTCACAAACACAAGTACTTCAAAGACAAATAATCACCCAAGAAATGTGGAGACTGAGGAAGCAATATTTTCTAATACACAGAAGGACAGAAGACAAGTAGAATAATTTAGAATGCTTTCAAAATGTCCTCTGTAAATCACAGTGGAGAACATATCTCACTTAGGGGGAAAAAAGCATGAAAATTCAAAAGAACAAAAATTTCAGTAACACAAAGAGAAAGAAGATGGAAGGATGAATGAATTGTTAGATGGATTTGAATCAGGAGGAAAGGAGGCAGGGCATGACCTTTAAAAGAATGACATGAGCATATGTCATAGGATACGGGCATTGGGCATTGACATAGGACATGACAAAAAATGGTTAGAACCAACTAGGCCCAAGACGGCAGAAGAGTCAACGTCCAGTAGGCCTGAAGCCTCATTATACACACGCTCACTGTAATACACTAGCAAGCTAAATGACATACCCGCCAGTGTCATGACAGTTCTGAGGCAAACCATAAAAGGCCAAAAAGTGGGTGGTGGCCCAGGTCCTAAAAATCCTCGTCCCTTCTCCAAGCTAGTTGGAGTAATCCTCCCACTCATTAGCCTATGAAATTATCCAGCCCATAAAACTAACCACCCCAGGACTTCCCTGGTGGTCCAATGGCTAAGACTGCATGCTCCCAATGCAGGGGACCCAGGTTTGATCCCTGGTCAGGGAACGAGATTCCACATGCCACAACTGAGATCTGGCACACCAAAGAAATAAAATTTTTTTTTAAAAAAGGAAACAACTAACCACCTCATATTTCAGGGTCTCTCGCCTTCTGAGATGGCCCACACTTTTGTCTGTGGAGTGTGTTTCTCCCACGGCCACTCTAGCCTTTTGAGATGGACCACATTCTGTCTATGGAATGTGTATCTCTCTAAATAAATCCACTTCTTAGCTGTCACTTTGTGTCTCTTACTAAATTTGTTCTGTGCTGAGACATAAAGAATCTGAGCTTCACTGAGTCCTGAGACTGAGTGTATGATTTTAATTAAGACAGTGGGTTCAAGTCCCAATCTGAGCTGTGCAGTTTCAGATTGATCGATGAATAGATGAATGGATGGACAGACAAATAAGCATACAAACATTCACTCCAGGCTCAAGAGTGGAGAACAGGGAAAATTATAAGGGGACATCCCATCTCTCTGAGCATTCCAGAAGGGGCCAATCATACAGGTGATATCACACCAGCCACTCCCAAAGGCGATGTGGGGACCTTCCTCTCATCACTGTACCAAAGCTGCAAGGTGAGTCATGCCAGCAGCCTAATTACGTGGCAAGGGTTCTACAAAGTGAAAGAAGATAGAAATCCACTTACATGTACTCCCTATGGGCGGAGTGTACAGCGGCCGCGTTGCTGTAACGCCACAGGACAATCGCCGATGACAGGACATCGAGGATGGCATCAAACTAGAAGGAGGAGACAGTATTAGTGGTTTTCCAGAGTTCATAGGTCACAACTGTGAAGACACATAGCAATTGTTCTGTGACTTGGAACATCTGAACCAGTGACCTCAGGGCAAAGAGGCTTCACATCATTACAATGCTGGCCACTCAGCATCCTCAAGGTGGAGATCCTGGGAATGCTAAGTCAGGGCACCCAACACACCCACGTGGTGCCAGGGTCATGGCTCCTCCTGGTCGCTTGCTGCCAGGGGTGCGGGGGGAGCCACACTCTATGTGTGCTGAGCTCTGCTCCCAGGACCCCTGACTCCCAGCACGCTGGTGATAGCGGTGGGGTGATGACACTTATGAGACATGTGAAATGGATCTCCCCAGGGAAGGCAATTTCAGCATTTTCCTGTCCATCCCAAGCAAAGGATTTGGGCCAAGGACTCTGTTTCTGGCTCTCAATAGGACTGTCCTGGGGTCCAGGGGTGAGGTCACCCAGGATGCTCCACGAAGTCTGCCAACACTGTGAAATTGGATACAAAAATCAGTGCTTTTGTTCTAATGAAGACGTGAATGTGTAAGAGAGAGAGTGAAGAAAGGAGGGGAAGGAGAGAGCAGTGTGAGTGAGAGAGGTGGGCAGGGGAGGAGGGTGACGTGTGTGTGTAATTTCTGGAGAGACAGTCCACACCTTTCAAAAGATTCTGAAAAGAATCTGCCAGCCTCAAAGCATTAAGTCCTCAAAACAATGGGAAAAGTGGCTTTGGGAACAGGGAACACACACCATCAGGTACAGGAAGCCCTGAAGCAGGAGGGCTGTTGAAACGAGCTTTCTTTGAGTGAATCACCTCACCCCAACACACTTTTTGTCTGGAAAACTACAAACACTAATGCTCTCTCAAAGATGTGGGGAGGCTTTACCCAAGTTTTCAGTATCTGAGACCCATCTTCTCTAACCAACTCCCATCAGGAAGCAGGTTCAGAAACCAGGGTACCCCTAGTCTGGCTTTAGACTGACATCCTATCGCCGGCAGCCCTGTCTTATCTCACATCACCTCTGCCCACACCAGCAAATGCTTCAGTGTGTGCCCATTTTCAAACCTACAACCTTAAGGGGGTGGGGAAAGGTCTAAACCCTAAAAAAAAGAATCCTCTCAAGGATTTGCAGAAACATGGTGGCCCTCATCTGTTGTTGAGAATTATACACTGTCATTGCAGTTTACTTCTATCAAATTATAATTGTCTGTAGAAGTGACTTCCATAAAAGGTATGTTTGTCATGCTCTCTCTCTCATCTGCTAACCACCCTCTTAAATCAGAGGCCCCAGTGTGAGATTTGTGGGCCCGGGAGAAACGTGCAAAACTTCATAAAAGTACATTTCAGGTTACTTACTGCAAACCCAAAAGCAGAGGCGCTGTACCTCATAACGGAGACAGCTAAAAAGAAAGAAAATATTATTCAGAATATTTTAAGATCTTGTGAATATTTTCTCTCATTTGTGAGAGTATTCATATATTTGATATGGCCTTTTAAACATCACTGGAAAAGTTCTATGAGAATGAAATTTAAAATTAACTGTACTTGTCATATCTGAGAATTAAAAAAAAAATTCAAGAGTGATATGAAAAGATTCCAGACTTTACTTGCAAGGACCTCCCTTCCCAATGTACCCTGAAGCACCAAAGGGCCAGCTTCCGAATGAAAATGCTCAAGCGATTGTCAATCAAATGACTGCTGAGACTCTGAGAATTTAACAACTGGGAATAGAGGGCTGGGAACCATATTAAACTTTGAAAGTGAAACCATAACCATCTGACCTGTTCTCATAATAAGGTATTTACTGATACACACACCATTGCTAGCACAGTTGGAAAAAAATCTCTTGCCCTCCAGAGCTTAAAATCCAGTGTGGACCTCAATAAAACTGTTTAGGAAAACAAGAATAAACTATCTTAAACAAGAGAGGTCTACAAAAGTAAGTGCCACAATTATAATTAAGACATATTTCATCCATACTCAAAAGTCAATCTACCTTTTGGGGGGCAAGTCAATTGGGTAGCACTTTTGTCTGATTCTGTGATCTGTTCTGTGCCAAAACCACGTGCAGCTTCCAAGACCATTCTCAATTTGACTTAATAAGGCAGGGCTCCAGGCAAAAGCCCTATTACACAAGCACATGCCCACTCACTAGTAAAGAATGAAACCCAACCCCGAGGGTCAGCAAGGCTGTGGGTTGTTCCCGGCACAGGTGTTACGAGCACTCACTCAAGGAGTGAGGAAGGTGTGGACACAGAGCATGGAAGTCAGCATCCCTCTGGACTCCCCCTCAACTCAGCACATGTCCCTTCTCTGAGAGCTGCTCTCTGCGTATACACATGGACCCCAGGCAGGCATGCTGGCCTTTCTACTCCTGCCCTCAGCCACAGGGGGGTCATCCAACCCAGGGCAACGGAAACACGTTTCATTTTCTATGTATAAGGAATTCCTCTGGGTAGCAGAAATGGAATCTAAGAACATTATTGTGATAAAGGATGTAGCTGATAAATACACTGAGAATTCATTTCCCCCAGCGCTGACCAAGTTCCTGGCAGACCTAATCTAGTATGTCAGTATACCTATCTTCTTTGCCTAGCATCAATTTGATGGATTTTTGAATGCTGCTGTTGTCCTTGAGCCGCTAAGTCGTGTCCAACTCTTCACAACCCCATGGACTGCAGCCCGCCAGGCTTCTCTGTCTGTGGAATCTCCCAGGCAAGAATTCTAGAGTGGGTTGCATTTCCTTTCCCAGGGGATCTTACCGACCCACGGATTTAACGAGTCTCCTGCATCGGCAGGCAGATTCTTTGCCACTGCGCCACCAGGGGAGCCCCTTTGAATGTTACAAGCAACCAACTACTGACTTGATTTGTACAGATAATTGGGACATGTGATTGGCAAGTGTTCTAGTAAAGTTTCCTACTAAAAAATAAACAAGTAATTGAGACTGGGATTCTAGTTGGTCAATTTACCCTGCTGGAATTGAAACTTGGAAACACCAGAGCTAGGGCTGGCCATGGTTTGTTACATAGACTGAGGAGCAGAGAAGACAGGAATGGGGTATAAACACAGGCTCCTCTGTCCGTGGAATTTTCTAGGCAAGAATACTGGAGTGGGTTGCCATTCCCTTACCGTCTGAGACACCAGGGTGGATTAAATAGAGTGGCTATTTTACCTAATATGGGGTCAAGGAACTGGCAGGTTTAGATCAGGAGGCTCATGGCAACAGTTGCTATGGAACCTGCTTAATTCCAGAGATGTTCTGTCCTGTGACCTTGCTATAGGTCTCCACACCTGTGACATTGACATAGGGCTCCACAAGTTACAGATTTCAAAGTTGACACCCACTTGACTTTATTAAGAAACACAAGGAACCTTGTCTCAGAAACTCTAGAATCGGACAAAGGAGACAGCCACTGAAGGGTGAGATTTCCCTGACTCCGTGGCAGTCAAGGCCCATGATATCATGTACTTTCAGAACTATACTGGAAAACTCTGCTTGCGTGGCTTAAGCCTGCCCAGTGGTTGAATCACTGATAGGACAAGTGAAATCTTTATGCTGTTCTACACCCCCATGCATCGAGGAAAATGGGAGCAGGAGGGCTCCCAGACCACCTAGAGTCCTGAAGAGAAGGAAGGCGTTCCCATGTCCCATTGACTTCTAAACTGGTTCCATCTAATTTTCTAGATGGGAAAGGCTGGAGATTGTGTGGGGAATTGAGGGTGCACTGAACGGCCCTCCACTTGGCCACAGCTCTGGCGGCTGTCCTGTGGGAGCAATCCCCAAGCTTCTGAGATGACAGAACAGCAAATAGTCATGAGCACAGGACCCAGTGGAAGAGATCAGTCAGCTTTTTAGGAGTTTCTGAAGTGACTTTTGGTGGGGGCAGGAGTGCGGGGAGCCATAACTGGACAAGACATACTCTAGCTCTGGGATAAGAAGGGACTCAAAGGTGGGACTAGTTTAGACAGCCCCTGCTCCCACAGAAAGAGAGCCACCTGTGGGATTTTCATCATGGCATTTTCAACCTCCCTCACGCTCAGAATGAGTTCCATTTGAAGAAGTCCCGGGCCAGAATGACCCACCGAGGCAGAGATTACAGGGCAGGTGGCCCTGGAGCCCACATGTACATGACTGAGGGGAGCTGGGAAGCCAGCAAAGATCCATCCAAAGTCCAGCAGTGCCTTTCAGGCAGGTGCTAGACTCAATGCTGGATGACAAAGAGGAAAAGGCCCTTTTGACCTCAGGCCATTACGCTGCAAGCTGGCAAGGTCCAACCCTATTGCAAGGGCGAAGCTTGCCTAGGAAGGCTGTTCTTGGTTGAGGCAGAGGTCCAGCTGAAGGTAATGAAGTCTCGGTGGCTCCCAGCACGTGGTATGAGGCTGTTTAATACTGCAGCTGCTCCTGAACAGAGCACCTGAAACTAAGCAGAGCCCTGGATGCAAAAGCCTTTCTGCGTCACTCGTTTTCTTGTTTGCAGGGAACAGGCTCCATTCAGCCTCCAAGGCCTTCCCTGAGTTCCAAACAGCAGATTCAATAAGGGAAGGGCGGGGATGTGGAGACAAGGGAGGGGCAGCCAAGAAACCAGAGTGCAGACTTAAACAGGATCCTGCTTCCCTCTCAAGGGATATATACATAGCAGTATCGGAGCGACTCCATGGACTGCAGCCCTTCAGGCTCTTTTGTTCATGGGATTTCCCAGGCAAGAATACTGGAGCGGGTTGCCATTTCCTATTCCAGGGATCTGCCAGCAGTTTTGTATATACTGAAACTCCCATCAGATGGGAGAAGTTAACTGTATGCTGTCCAGAAGCACTCACAGCCCAGACCAGTAAGGACCAGAAGGTTGATGATGCTCCCTATTACCTCACCACCAACCAATCACAGAATGTCCATGAGCTGATCACGCCTTCCTCTTTGAACCACTGCAATAAAACTCCTCACTACCCCCTCCAGGTTGGAGCAGACAGTTTTGAGGGCATTAGCTGGCTGTATCCCCCTTCACATGGCAAAGCAATAAAGCTATTCTTTTCTACTTCACCCCAAACCTGTCTCCACATTTCAATTTGATACAAAAGTGTACAGACGATGAATCTTGGCGACACATTCCAACTGTCAGCAGCCTCCAAATTCATCTGGATACCACTGGTACCAGTGGGGAAATTGAGGAGGTTTTCAGCAATGTTTCCCCTCCTCACATTCAGAGACTGTCTCTAACATTCATCACTGAATCATGCACTCAGGGGGGATGTACTACCTATGGGCCACTGAGTTTCATTCCCCAAAGAGCTGGGACCTAGACTACTCCCCACCTCTCACTCCCCCGTGATGAGAGTGAAAGCAGGCTGCCATCTGATTAGGCTGACCTTACATACCCAGAAACGCACACATAGCAACAGGGCTCCTCTCACTTTCCCTGCTATCTTGTTGCTTCTTATATATTAAGACGCAAAGTCCTTAGGATGCTCCTAAGTCAAATGAAGATCTGTAGCTTGGGGCCTGCCTAGCAGCCATTCCCCATTTGGATAGAAGGGCCCTGAGTCTCCTCTGGAAAACAGGAGGTCACCCACCCTCAGACTATGGGGTTTGGGTGGGATGTCATCATGAACCCCACTCTAGCCTACCTACCTCCTTCCCATGGCCAAAATTAATGATTCAGAGATGGTACAATTCAATTTGAGCCAGTGAGAACCTGTCCTGAGATTCTGCTGAAAATACTGGGAAGAGGATGTCTTTCTATCTAAGAGGGGACGCAGCGTTGGTGGCATGAGGAAAGGAGCTGCCAGTAGCAATTTTGCCCTCAATGATGAAGGCCGACTTAGAATGAGGCCAACACAGAGGAAAGTGGATATGAAGGTAATGAACCAAAGCCAGGTGACATGGACTGAAATCTGGAATCAGCCCCACCTGAAGTTTACCCCTATATTTTTCAAATACATCAACCAATAATTTCCTTTAATTTACTTCAGCCAGCCTGAGCTAAGTTTGTATCACTGGATATAATACATCTTGACCCAAATCATCCCTTTTCCAAGAATCTCTTTTAATGCCTAAGAAATGGACAAACACCTTCTACCAAAAGGTTCATAGCAGGTTTGCGTGATTTATAATAACAAAACACTGGACACAATTTAAATATCCAGCAGTAGGGTAATGATTAAAGAATGATCCATTTAAAGAATGAGCTGTATATATAGCTGTTCAAAAATGTTGAGCATGTGTACTGCTGGCTAATGCTTATTTAGCATACTAGAGAGAATAATAATATTGATAAAAAAAATTAGCTGGTGTTTTGAGTGCCACCAGTACTGGTGTCATGGGAAGGGAATGGGTCCAGGTCAGGAGCAGTTCTGGCTGAAAAGTGAAAGTGTTAGTCACTCAGTCATGGCCAACTCTTT